TCACTAAAAATAAGACATTATTTGTGGTTTCTCACAACACGTAATTTCACTCACAATTTCACAATGTCCTTGATGCTTTAGATGCCATCCTTTTTATGATTTTCCTTGTTTTCACAAATCCTGTTAGATTTGTCATGTAATATCTCATGTTTCTCAAAAGATAACTTCATAAGCAGGAGGCCCAATGAGTTTTGGAATGGCCATGGCTTTTCATTTTTTTTGTGTTGCATATGGTTAGGACAAAGTGTAATGTCAAACTGGGACATGTAAAAAACTATGCAAATTTCGGCTAATTTTTTTTCATTAATCAATTTTTTTAAAATATGAACTAATATTAAAATCTATACTTTTTACTCTGTACTAATACTATATTTTGTCTATAATTTTTAGTTTTATATTTTTGTCTAAAAATCAATTAAAATAAAAAGTAAACTAAAAATTAAAATTCAGTCATTTTAAATACTACAAGTGAATTTAGGCATCAAAACATAATATGTAGTATGAAGAAAATAAGATTGGTTAAAGATTACATTTAACAGTATTACTAAATTATTAGCATTTTTTTTTTAAAGAATACCTTTAAAGCCAAAAATGAAAATCCTGTCATTTACTCACCCTCAAGTTGTTCCAAACCTGTATAAGTTTCTTTCTTCTGTTGAACACAAAAGAAGGTATTTTGAAGAATGATGGTAACTAAACAGTTGCTGGTAGCCATTGACTTCCATTGTATGGAAAAAAAAAATACCATTGAAGTCAATGGCTACCAGCAACTGCTTGTTTACCAACATTCTTAAAAATACTGTTCAACCGAAGAAAGAAACTCATTCAGGTTTGGAGCAACTTGAAAGTGAATAAATGATGACAGAATTTTCATTTTTGGGTGAACTATTCCTTTAAGTGAGCATTAGATGACTGCGAAGGCAATCTAAATGTAAAAATATACAATTAAATTTAATAATTAAAAAAAAAAAATTCAACCAATAACCAAAATATCTCTAATACAAATATGTTGTTTATTTATATCACAATATTCTAATTATTTAATTGATAATAGCATCTTCTCTTGAGTTCCCTGCATCCGCCCATCTCTACGAAAGACAATCCACTGTCCTTCACTCTCTTCTCAGTCCATTCCAACATTCTTCCTGCATTCTTTAACTTATCCACCCCATCCTCCTCTCCTTGTTACCGCTCTCTGATGATTCATCATTACTGGCTGGCTTGTTTGTATCCGTTTATTACTGTGCTTCACATTCTAAGCTTGTATCCGTGGCAACAATAAACCTCCATCTTGGAAGCAGCAGTTTGTCTGCGAGACTCAAACGGCTCTCTCTCTGTCATCAAGGTCAGAGCTGATTGCAGGAATGTTGATCGTGATGGAGCATCAAAGCGGCCGCTCTTTCATAACCTCTGATAGCACCGGGCTGTTTCCTAGGCTTAAATGGCTGCTGTTAAAAAACCCTTTAATGGTTTTAGTTACGTTTTTACTGCTAATGCTTGCTAAGAAGGCCTTAATCAAAAGTCTTTTGCTATCCCATTACAGATCTGAGACAAGAGAGTCTTCAAGCCCCATTAGTAATGAAAAGGTTTTCTCTGTCTCCTCAGCTAAGGAGGAAGGAGGTAAGAGAGAGAGACAAACCCAGACAGAGATAATTTGTGGCACAATAGGGACAGACCAAGAATGATACCAAGTGCCTATAATGATGTGCACTCCTGACAGAATGACATATGAAGACATCCACATAATGAAACTGATTGCACAGATTCTCATGTGATTCTGCTTTTTAAATTGTGTGTCACAATAGATGATATAATGATGATGCTCTTAAATCAGCAAGCACCCTCAGGGAAAGAGTCCGTGTTTTGTACCCAGTTGGAGAGAAATGCCACTACGGTCACCTATCGTGATTTGATGAGCCAAGGACAGCAGATGTGGTCTAGGTGTTGACATGATTGTTTAAGAATGTTGTCAGATTTGTTTTCCTTCTTTCACTTTTTCTGCAATGAGAGATAGTCCAGCCAACCTAACTCAATGTCACTCTTTCTGAAATCACACTCCATTTATTACCTCAGACTAAGTGCTTCTTGCACTGGTCACATACAGTAAATAGTAACAACGTAAACCAGCCTAAGGTGGTTTACTGGTCTTAACTGGTTCAAGCAGGTTTAGCGTGTCTCCCAAACTGACTAGCTGACAAGTCTAAAACCATCAAATCAGACAATGATAGTCTTGAACAATGGCAACCAGATTTGTGATTTACTGTGATTTGATGCTTAAGATACATTTCTTTTTATTATCAATATTGAAAATACCTTTGCTGCTTAATATTTTTGTAACAATGTAAAAGCCATTACCATCACTTTTTATCAATTAAATGCATCCTTGCTGATTAAATGTATTAATTTATTTAGAGCTTACTGATTCCAAACTTTGGAATGGTAGGGTGATGTATTTGCATGAATTCATGTTTAATATAAATTTTTTTAAATTGCTATTTTATTTACAAAATTATTATTTATTGTTTTACGTTGTTGTATATTGGTGATTTGTTTCCTTAAATTATGAATGACCCCTCATTTATTCCTATATAAGCGCACAATCTTTTGTCTTTTTATTTGTCAAATTCTGGGAATCAAATATATTTTGTGATTCATCTGTCAGTTGATTGACTTAAAAATAATTAATGAAGAAATTCTGTTCGGAACACGAACAGGAAATAAACTTCCGGAGCCAAGACTGCTGGACAATTTCTACTCTGTAATATTGCTTGTTACATGCACTGTGCATGACCTACTATGGCAGATTATTTGATTCAGTATCTTGGATTCATTTTGGGGAATTGTGCTCGTCTAATCCCCAGTTGAATGAATATGACTGGCTCTTTCAATGTAGTCTCAGCCTGAAATTCATTCCAGGATCAAGTGTGCTGGATAAATACTCATCATTTCAGTTTCATGCCTATTCTTATCTGCAGTGTTCGCAATACTGTGGGAATGAAAAGGGTGGGAATTGGAACAGTATAAAAGACTGGAGAACACTAATGGGGATTAATTACACCTTGTTGATGAAGTACCTCTTTGGAAATAGTTAGATGAACTATCAAGCCATGTGACCTTCTACCAATAATTTCACACAATAGTCGCCTCCTTTGCAGTGTTGTTAAGCTTCTAAGAGACTGTTCCTTGAACTATTGCCAAACATTACATTGAGTAATCGCCTTGTAGTGTGGCATATTGAAAGATATACTTACTTGATAGAGGCCTGGACATAACATGTTAATTTCCATTAGTGCATAGAAATGCATATTCAGCAAAAACAGCTCCATGCGAGTCCATTCTCAGTTCCTTAGAGGCTGAAGCCACTCAGAGATTAGTCGATTTAAAATCTTTGACTTCTCAACTCTTGCTTTAAATTGTCCCGTGGTTGTTTTACACTTCCATGCGCTGTTCATTTTACTATACACTCAGCCAAGTGGAAATTATCCAAAAAAGAGTAGGGTTTGTTAGAATTGATAAAAGGAATGATTTTCAGTTAGTGCAGATTTCAGGAACAGAGGTTTATATTTAACCTGTGGTTTTATTCAGCATATTGCAATGCACAGTTATAAATGTATGCCTCCAGTGAGCTGATATCAGCTTTTATGTTCGTCAGGTTGCAAACAAAGCATGTCTACACATCCTGTGCTCACTGAGTTTGCTAAACATCTGAATCAGAAAGCTTTATTAGCTACAAGTTTTCACATACAAGAAATCTGACATTTTTGTGACAGAAGATTCAAAATCAATCTTGCAAAACCAAACTGAAATTGGGATGCACAGTACTGGTAGTCATATTGGTATTGGTCAATAAATGTGACTTTTTAATGTCATCTGTATTGTTCCAATAAGTAAAATAAACCTGTATATTTAAACTGCTAAATTATAGCCAAATGAAAATGGACCCAACATACATACATATTGTTAATATATCTTTCAGACCTTTCAATTTTCCATAACAATGCATATTTAAGCAAAAAAATTGTAGTTACTATAAATATAACCAGCTATAAACACAATACAGTATACTCACATAAAGCGATATATACTAAATATAAAATAAAAATAAAAAGTCTTAAAATGTCTTACATTTCTTAATTTAACAGCTGCTGAGGGAATGATGGTAAATGTAACATTTGAACAAATTTGTAAAAATGTTCCATTGTTCATTTGTATCTCTGTTCAGCAGGGGGATTTTTGTGTCTTCGCATAGAAGACGATAGACGTGATGAGCAGGCCTTAAAGGGGTCATATGACTCGATTTCATGTTTTCCTTTCTATTTGAAGTGTTACAAGCTGTGCATAGGTAAGATCAGTAAAGTCGCAAAGGTTAAAGTCTCAAACCCAAAGAGATATTCTTTCTAAAAGTTAAGACTCAACCACGCATTCCTAAAATGCCTCATTCAAATACGCCCCCACATATCTACGTCACTATGTGGGAAAATTTGCATAACACCGCCCAAATGTTTATGTGAAGAAAGAAGGCATAACATTTATTCTCACTGTAGTATTGTTGCCGCCGCCACCATGTCATGGAGACGCTGTGTGTTTCCACATATGGTAAGGGGCGTAAAACATTTCCGTCACACGCTTGAGGTATTCGGCCAATCACAATGCACTGGATAGCTGGCCAATCAGAGCACACCGCGCTTTTTAGAACGATGAGCTTTGTAAAAATCGACATGTTTCAGAAAGGCGGGGCATAGAGGAGCAACAATAATGTATGGTATGTGGAAAATAATGTGTTTTTTGAACCTTAAACCACATAAACACATTTCATTACACCAAATATACAAAATAATGTTATTTTTAGCATCGTCATATGACCACTTGAAAATATTTCAAGATCTTGAAAATGGTATTAAAAAGTAATAAATCCAAAGTGCTGATACCTGCAGATACCCCGAACTGCACGCTTTAATATTTGTTCATTTTGTGTGTCTTTTCTCTCTTTTACTAGGACAAAAGTTTTGGACTGTGAGGAAAACCGATTAAGTGCCAGAAATAGGCCTAACAGCAGTCAAGACCTTATTGAAGAGCTAAATCAAGAACTTGTGACTCAGAGGGAGCATGTGTGATGATCTGCTGTTCCTTGCTCAGCCCGCAGAAAAACCCAGCGCGTCTGAGATGAGTGGTCCTCTGTGGTCCCCGGCCGCTGTCCCTGCCTGCTCTTTGCAGCGCTTGGTGGCGTGAGCAGATTGCTCCATCCTGGCATCCACGGGAGCGTGGAATGGCCTCTTTAGACCTGCCGTACCGTTGTCCTCGCTGTGGGGAACACAAACGCTTTCGGAGTCTGTCGTCTCTACGTGCCCATCTTGAGTACAACCACACCTACGAGACCCTGTATGTGTTGTCCAAGTCCAACAGCGTATGCGATGCCGCTGCGCTGCTCCCCCTAGTGGCCGACGGAGCCCTCGCCGCCGAATCTCGTTTTCCTCACCGCGAACTGCCCTGCTCTGCAGAAGAGCTCGGGCTTACGCCTTCATCTACTGCTTGCTACCTGCCCAATGTGGAGTTTCCTCTGGGCGAGATCCTGGTGAAGACAGCCATGAGCTCCGGCGACGCCTTGTCCTCCACAGGGAACAACGCCGTGGCGGTGGCCGCTAACGTAGCCGCTAGTGCGGTGGAGGCGGCTTACGAGGAGGGCCTGGCTCGGTTGAAAGCTCGAGCATTTGGGAGGCTCGAGCTAGACGAGAGGCTCGAGAAGTTGTCGGAGGAGGTGGAGCAGAAGATCGCGGCGCGTGTTGGCCGTCTGCAGGCGGAGCTGGAGAGGAAAAGCTTTGAGCTGGAAAAGGCAAAGGTGGAGAGCGAGAGGCTCAGTGAGGAGAAGCAAGACCTGGAGGACAAGGCCACTGAGCTTTCACGGCAAGTGAATGTGTCTGTGGAGATGCTGGCCAGCCTTAAGCAGGATCTGGTTAACAAGGAGCAGGAGCTCACACACAAACAACAGTAAGTTACATGCGTCCCACCTTGTTTCATGACCAACCCCTTACAATAAGGAAAAAGTCGCTTTGATTGAAGAAATAATGAGAAATGTTCTTGACTGCATGGACCTTGCTGTTTTTGCTCAAATGCTTGATTCATTCTAGGGCTCTCCAACAGAAGTTTCTTTGTTGGAGCAAGCAGGGCTTTCACAAAAGAAGAAATGCTAGATTCGTCTTTAACAGCTCCACGGGTTAGCGTCATTTAGACAAAGCAATTGAGCAAGACAGTTAACAAACCAGCAACTGTAGCATCTCTGTAGAATGTCTCCAGTCATATTTAATCTGCTCTATGGCAGGCTTTTCATGTTCATGGCTGTTACAGTTTAGTGTGCTTTATTGGTGTGACAAGCATTTGGTACATTTGTATAGCTTAGCTGGATGCAGAACAAAGCAGAACAATAATGCTGCATGTACTACTATTCAGAAGTTTGGGGTTGGTAAGATTTTTTAATGTTTTTGAAAAATGCTGTAAAACATTACTGTAAACAGCACAATTTAAAAGTACTGATTATTAATTGAAATATATTTTAAAAAGTAGTTTATTCCTATTATGGCAAAGCTGAATTTGCAGTATCATTACTTCAGTCTTTCAGAAATCATTCTTATATACTCAATTAACATTTCTTATGCAGAAAAAGTTGTGCATAAGGCTTTTTTTGGAATTCATGGATAAATCGAAAGTTCGAATTTGGTCCAGAAATGAAAACCTGAAATGGTCCAGACACCAAATTAAATGACAGCATATGGATTGTTTAAAAGGATAGATAATTAAAATGCTGTCATCATTAATCTCCCTCATGGCATTCCAAAACTTACATTCTTCTATGGAACACAAAGGAAAATAATTTGAGAAAAGTCAGTGTCTTTGGTCACCAATAGTGTTTTGTTACCAACATTCTTCAAAATATCTTCTTTTGTGTTCTGCAGAAGAAAGTTGTCCAGGTTTGTGACCACATGAGGGTGAGTAAATAGTGGCAGAATTTTCATTCTTGGATCCCTTACTCCTTTAATGCTGTTTTCTGGAGACCTGTTTTTACTGTCTCTTATAAGCTGTTGAACTACCCTTCACCCTACGGTCCATTGCCTCTAATTGCCTGTTCTTTTACCAGTCCGCTCTGCGGTTATAATGGCAATGGCACCAACTACCTAGCTGTATTTCTCTGTAGCAGCGTAGTCTCAAATACGTGTTCATGTTATCATGGCAGGATTTCTCTGTCATAATGGAGTGGGAACCCTAAAGGGAAAGTGAAAAATGGAGTCCATCAGATAACTTGTATTTCAGTTGATAATATGAGCTCAACTTTGATTGCTAAGCAGTGTGAAGGAATGAAATAATAAAGTATTTTAGAAGGTTGCAGATCACCAAGCCTTTTCAATTCCAATTTATGGTTACAAAGTCTTTTCAATTTCATAACGTCTGATTTCCTTTCTGACCAAAAGCCAGAAAATGACAGTTTTTAGATATCAGAGAGTATTAAAATATAAAAGTCATCGAGTGTAAATGGTATTTTAGTTGTCAAGAATGAATAGGGAAAAATAAAGTGGAAATATGCTCTAAAATGATACTTTCCTTTATATATCATTTAGCCCCAGGTTAAAGCCATTCAAATAAAATATCACCTCTCCCAAAATGATTTTGTTTCATATACTGGATATAGAAGTCCAAAAGAGAGGTGCAATTGAGCTTAGAGAGTTTAGAGACTCGTATGCTGTGGGATATTCTCAGCAGGACTTCATCTGAAATATACACCCACTGTGATTGATTTGTAGCTGCCTGTGGATTAGAGCTTTCTTGAGAAACCGGTCACGCACTGCTGGCAGGTAGAAAGAAGTCTCATTTCTTTTCTCCCTCTCTCACCTCTCTGCTTTTTGACCCTCAGTACCCTTCCTCCATTCTCTCTTTTTTTCTCCCTCTCACTGTCACCTCGATCTTGTTAGCGTCTCATATCCCAGCTGATCTCTGTTTCTCCTCTGCAGACTCTGGCTTCTTCTCTCACTTGCTGATTTTTGCTTTATTTGCCTAACTGTATGTCCTCTGGAGCTTTCAAGCTAAACAGATCTTTAGACTATTCTGACTATCATTTGTAACCGAACAAATTTACAGACGTCAAGGCTTTTAAAAACATTTTCAAGCCTAACTTGATTTATTAGCAACATAACTACCTTGTTGTGGCATAGCAATTTTTTCATTGCTTGCTCATTTGTGTCACAATGTCCTATTCAGCTATTTGAAATGTGAATGGATAGATCCAATGTCCATGGCTGCCATTATTATGCAAACTTAGGTTTGTAGATCATGATTAATTCATCTGTCTTGCAATTAGAGTACCTCTGTGATGCCATAGTATCCATCTTGAACAGGGCAGAAGTGTGAATGACAGATTGATATACTATATGTGTGTGTTTAGTATTCTGTTCATAAGAGGGCTCATATAATATCCTCTCTGTATTTGCATACAAATCTCTGCTAATGTTCTCTTTCCGCTGTCTCTGTCTTTCTCTGTGACCTATCCTGTCATACCGATGTTGAAATTTACAGGACAGGCACAGTTTGAGGACATGAGCTTGTTGGCATTGCCTAGAAGAGTGATGCATTGAAAATTCAGAAAGTTAAACTGAAAATATTTGTTCTTAAATTCACAATTCGCTTTGTACATTTTGTAACATGCAAAAACAAAAATGTACTACTTGTATGAGTGACTGATAGCATGTGCACTTCTATAGTGTGAACTAAAGCAATTTAGTCACACTAATAATCTGCAATACTTCCAAGCATTCCAAGACCCCATTTTTGCCCTTCTCTAATTTCATCTCATTAACCACTCTTGTTTCTTCTAATTATCATTCATATTGTCTGGAGACTGTGTTGCTTACAGCGTTACATAATCATTTACTATTGTGAATACAGTGAGTTGCCGATTAGCTCTCTGCTGCTATTTTTATGTGCACTTGAAATAATTGTTACTGCATTAGCGCAGAGGAATGTTAAATGTCAGATGTACGATTCCTATTTCCAGGCGACGTCTTTGTTTCTCATTTGTCTATGTCTGATGCCCTGCATTGGATTCATCAGTATTTATCAGCTTATCGCAAAGTGTTTGCAAACAGCCTTTGCAAAATCATGAAATGCAGACTTTTCTGAATTGCACTTCATAAATTGTAGAGAATTTGCTTCAGCTGAGAAAATTCATTTTCATGCATTGAATTAGTGGTCTTAGTGCTTAAAATGCAGATGTAGTTTTGCACATCCCTTGTGACAGTCATTCAGTGTAGTTAACCGATATATTGCATACTCCGTACTATATCATACAATTTTTAAAATCTAGTATGCAACATATAGAAAAACATTGATTTATATATATATATATATATATATATATATATATGTATATTTTGAGTGCTTCATATGCACATTTGTACATATTTCATTCTGCATTGCGTAACTAATATTTCAGAACATCTTTTATTAGTCACTTAACCTTATGTTAATGGAATATCATTCTTTCAATCTGAATGAAATGGCTTATTAAATTTAAGTAAAAATGTTCCCGGTGCACTGTTCATACATTCTTTGTTGTAGCAGTTAAAAGCATTATTGTTTAAAGACATATCTGACAGCCAACCAATAGTTGTTCCCATGGAAACCAGTCTGTGTAGTCATTGAAAGATCAAGGTTACTTTTTAAAAAATAAAAAAATCTAATTTTTTTTTAGAATTGTCTGAATACAAACTGAACTCAGTATGCCAGCTTCAGCGGTGTCTTGCAAGGTTGAGCAGCACCATCATAGAATCCAGAAACTAAAGTGATTTTATTGCAGCAGTTGGGTTCCTAAAGTAAAAATTTTCTCCATAGGGCTATTGATTTTTAACAATAACTTGGAGACCTTTAAAGACATACCTGCTGTGAGCTATGAGGTTTTTAATCAATGTTATATGCTTTTGTTGAAGCCATCAGCCAGCATTATTAAATACTCATGTTGAACAGCGAAATTATTGATGAAAAACTACATTACTCGTGATTATGCAAAAGAAATCTACACCAATAAGAGAATCCTGAAAAAAGCAAATTGTACAAAGCACTGTGACTTAACCTTATTAAAACAGATAAGTACACTGTCTTGTAGCTTTGTGTTTTTCTCTAATTTTCCTTTTTTTTTTTTTGCTTTTTGGACCCATTTGGATTTAGAAATAGTGATGCATGATGTCAGATTTAACCAGACATACTTATTTGGTGTTTGATTTAAAAAAAAAAAAAATCACATTGACTTATGCCAGATGCATAAATGCTCAGAAATCTTAACTGGTTAGACCCTAGCACTACCTGATCATTCTGTTCTTCTGTCATATCTTAATGTAAATGTTATAAACATCTCCTGTTTTATGATAACCACTTCTATAAATGCATAACTGGATTTTTTTTTGATTATCTACAACCAGCTAATATGAAAACAGCATTTGTTTTTGATCAGGCATTACAAACGGCTACTCCTTGGAGTCCAAGCACAACTGGTTTCTGGGGGGGAATGTTTCTTTTTGAACACTGGCAGCATCATATCTGAGTAGTTTTAATCCGTTGTTTTTAGATAAGGGATGTGTGGAAGTAAGCAGGCACACAGGCTATCACACACTCTTGTCAGTCTGACTGTGTTCTCTGCGCTACAATCAGACTGAGTTCTGTCAAACATTCCAGTTCAAACCTTGAGGTATGACCTGGAGTTGAGATATTAAATTGTTATTTGTTCTCGGTTATAAAGAGGTTGTGTGCTTGTGAATGTGTATGTTTGTGCTCATTAGTGAAGGTTAAGTTTATTAGCTGACACAAGCTAGAGCACTTTCAAACCACCGTACCTTGTTTGAATTCCCACAGTGTGAATCTGAAAGCCAGGGTGCTTCCCCCAGCGTGCTTTGCTTGTAGCATATTGGAATTTAGATATCAGCTTTTTGGGCTAGCGGTCTTATTTGTATTCATGTTCCCCTGTGAAGAAGCTTCAGTCAGCTCCAGGACTGTAAGCTACACTGGGAGAGTTTTGATTAGGGCAGACAGCGGGAGAAACACTGTAATATGTCATGCTGCTTCAGCCACTTAATTGTTCATGCTTTCTTCTGCTGCTTAATTGAGTTCACTTTAAACCTATACACATTGACCGGGCCTATCAATCGGACAGCATTTGGACTGAATTGTTTGCTCCATAACTGCATCTGCTTGGAGAAGTGTTAAGCTGCTTTTCCACTGTCTCCAACAAATGGCAAACATGGATAATTAATTTCCAGTGGAGAATAGTCATATGCATGTGCAGAATTTCTGATCTGATTTGAGCTTTGGATACCACCACCAGAGATTAGTGATATTTTTCCACTGAAATGTTTTTCTTTAAACACTAGTAAAATGAGCAGTTATGAATAATTATGTTATGTATTAGTTATATGTTACATATTGGGTCACATTAGCTTCTTATAAATCCACTGGATCACATTTACAGCTGTGTGTTTGCTGCATAAATATATGGGTCCATTTTCACATTGGTCTGAACAAAAACAGCAGACAGGCTTGAAAACTTCCGGTTCATTAGCAGCTGTAGGGAAATAACAAGAAGAATAACAAAGTGCAATAAATGGTAAACCTGTTTGCACTACAAACCAGTGTGTTCATAATTAAGATAATACTTTAAAATAATATGGTAAGACACACCAGTTTGCAATATCAAGCAGCAAAATAAGCTGTTTTATACAACTAAAAATAGATGGAAGCGAATGACACCAGAACCCAGACCCATAAAATTTACAAATGGCCATGCCCGCATTTACGGGAAAAATAATGTGGATAGGCAAGATGAAATAAAAATACCATCGAAACCTTTCTGAAGGCAGTATAGGTTCCCTTCAGAAAAACATTGATATAATAACGCCCGCATCGCGCAATTCTTGTCTTTCCATCCCCAAATTTAAGACCTCTTGACATTATAATAAAGATTATTTCTTTCATTCTTTCTGCCCTTCAAGCCATTTAAGACATTTTATGACCTTAAATTTGAACATATTTGATTCAGCCCACAAAAGTGGCTAGCAGGAGTGACTGTGTTACACGCCACTACTGAAATCCACCTGGATTTGGCAGGGGTTAATGTCAAGCCCTGATTATATATACCTCTATAGTTATTAGCAACAAAAATGTCTTTGTACTTGTTTAGAGTTGAAGGTATTTATTACATAAGCCTAGGGATATGCCGGTATCAAATTTTCATGTTGCGATTAATTGCTAATGCTTTTATCACGGTATACAGTATTTGCATTCAAAATTCTGAATAATTTGTTATATATAATTATTCACGGTATTTAGAAGTGCCCACGATAACAATATCGTGCATATTCATTACCGTGATATATCGCATTACCAAATACCGGCACAAGTCTACATAAGCCCAGGCCATTGTTGCTACCATGTGGACAAAATAATTAGCGCCAAGAAATTCAAAGTGCACAAAGTACACATGATTAGAAAAATACAAAACTGGCTGCACACATACACACAGCAATGGAATGTACCACTGATGCCACATGGACTATTTTAAAGATGTCCATACTAACTTTTTGGGCCTTGAACGTGGTAGATGCATTGCTGTCTATACAGGCTCAGAAAGCCGTCGGATTTCATCAAAAATATCTTAATTTGTGTTCCGAAGATGAACAAAGGTCTTCTGGGTTTGGAATGATATGAGGGTGAGTAATTAATGACAGAATTTTTGGGTGAACTATCCCTTTAAGAAGTCAAGGGTTTGTCTGTTTTGCATGGCTCTGTTAGCCCCTCCTGGTAGATGCTGTAACTACATCTGGTTCTAAAAGAATCTTCATTGATGGCCAAAAGTAACCATTCATTCAGGCATATTGTTTAAAACTGGAATTTGGGGCAGGATATATCAAACCGCTTGTTGCTAAAAATTGCTAGCATTTATTATCTAAAATTTGCATACACCCCTGCATAGGCCATTGAATATAAAATGCATATATTTGCATATGTAGGTGTATAGGCCTGCTCTTATAGACAGTCTCAATGCAAATAGACATGGACTTAAATCCACAAAACTTCAATTTTGTTTCCCTGGGGTCTTTAATACAAACACACACTGATCCACAGTGTTACTCTCCCTTGAGAGGCCCCACACATTGTGGGTAGATAAACGGATTTATCAAGCTGACCAACGAAATTAGGTGCCAGCCCTTTAATCACTGAAAAGTCACTACTGCGGTTCAAGATACAGTGAGGGGCTGAAGCAGACGTAATATATGCAGATGTGCGCATGGTATAGCACGCAGTGAGCACATGCTGATCTGCCCTGCCTCCACATTACTGGGCCTGTAATTAGTCTCGTTTACACTGTTGATTGACTGTCATTCTCTCTGTTGTTAGTAAGCAAAAACATTGTTGACCTTTACTACAGTAAGAACACTGCAGTCGAGTGAATAGAGAGGAGTCATTCAAAAAGTAATTACACAAGATACAGAAAAAGCTGCAGAAAGACTGTTTTGAATTGAACAATAAAAAAAAAGAAAATGTATTGTATGTCATTCCAAACCAGTGTGACTTCTTTGAAACACAAAAGGAGATTTTTTTGAATAATGTACTGGTTGCTTTAATGTTCTTTTCTTTGCAGTAACAATGAATAGGGCATAATTGCACACAAATAGACCATAAAAGTGGTCCGCATGACTTTTATTTCAAGCAGTGTTATTTCAGTATTATTAATATATTATTACCCGTGGCCCTATAGAGGACTGCTATTGTTATTTATTAACATTTTGAACTCGCTTTTATTTTTATATTTTCAGGTTTTAATTTTAAGTTTAGTTTCAATTTGATGTGCTTTTTTTAAATAAATATTTCTATATAGCTTTATTTTAGTTTTAGTACTTCAACTCATGCCTATTCCAGTTAGTCGCAGAGACAACATTTCTAATATTCGTTTACATTTAAATCTTTACGTTTACATCTAATATTTATATTTTATTTGATTTCAGCTTGATGATTTTTTTAAATAGTTTTAGCTTTGTAATAGTTTTAGTTTTATCAATAACACCACACGTTCCAAGTCTGTTTAGTTCTGTTTAGCATAAAGCATTAGATTCTGTATTAATCAATCCTTACAACCCTGCAAATCTGCAAAACAATAAAGCACTTTTTTTTTTCAGTGGACTTTTTGTCCCCTGATTTCACTACTGATCAATGACGTAAGTCTTGATTTGGTGATGATAAATTATTGCACAAGAAGAGAAACATACTGGAAATAATAATACCAACATGATATAAAAAGACAGCAGTGCAGACTACAGTCTGTCTTACACGATCATTTAATAGAGCCTGATCTTTATCATAGTTATTTACTTAGAGGATCTTTTGCGATTACACAATTACATAAATGCCATTGAGATCACATTTACGCACATTAATTTTCCTAGTTTATAAAATGCTGCTTTTAATTCATGTGGATAATTAAAGCCTCTTCCTTGAGTACAGGAACTGCTGCATATTCACTATGGCTTATGACGTTATTTGCAACCTATGTTGATGAAATACTCAAGATGTCAGTATCTCAAAATATCATTTTGTTGGCGTACGAAAATGAAAAGTCCAACTGTGTGAGAATCTACTATAAGTGTGAGAGAAGCTTAGAATAGCTGAGGTGATGGTGTCGACAGAGGTGCAAGCCAGTGTTTGTGTTCAGAGACATTTCCTACACAGAGATAACAGTTGTCGTGCTTTCATTGGCTGTACGCACACTCCAGGGATTTGCAGAATGCTAGAGAAGATAAACAAGTATGAGAAAAGGGGCAAATGGGATGGAGAAAGTGGTATCAGATGCCCTTTTCCCATTTGAAATTTGCATGTTCATGTTTCATTTCTCTAAAAGAAAATGCTGTTGGTAGCGATGCATCAGGTCATCTATATGCCACCATATCTTTAGAGTTACATGTACTTATATAATTAGTGCTCTTTAACACACTCAATACTCATTACAAAATTGATCAAGAGCAACTGAGAAGCTATCACCACTGAGACGACTCAATCCTTTCACAGTAATCCTCATTTCTTTCTCAAATTCTTTCATTTCCTCCTCACTCAGAGAGGTGGTCCAGATCGACCAGTTTCTGCAGGAAACGGCTGCGCGTGAAGCCAATGCTAAAGTGCGTCTTCAGCAGTTCATCGAGGAGCTGTTGGACCGGGCCGACCGTGCTGAGAAACAGCTCCAGATCATCAGCAGCTGTGCCACCACCCCCAACGGCAGCCTGGGACACTGCAGTCTGCAGGGATCCAAACCTAATGGACGACAGGTACAGTGACTTAGCGAAAGAGATGAAGGAGAAGAAAGACATTGGCGTGATGTACTCAAAGAAATCAGAGATTACACCTGTCTTTGTAGTCGGTTACGCGATTTCAGTTAAAAATACATCATTGGAATCATTTACTGTTTCAGTATCTACATGGGATAAAGCATTCGGGTTTCTCTTGAAAAACTCCAATGGATTTATCACTTGCAAAGTGTGGATTTCATGGTCTTATATGTCAGGGTGATGCATAGGTATACTTAAATAGTTATAATGTTTGCTTTGTTCCTGTATCCCATTTTAAGGAATCATATAGTAGGTGCCAAAAAGGTAGACAAATATCCTTATATAGCTGTGAGGTTTTCACATTCACATTTTACCTTAAGAAATGGCATTTTTCAAAATGAACAATGTGAATTGTTTAATTAATGTACGAATACATAAGTATGTTTAAATAAGTATGAATTTGAGTCAAACTTTTGTCATTTGCATGTTTTCACAGAGCACTCAGGTATACACTACCATTCAAAAGTTAAGAAGAAATTAAGAAATTAATGATTTTATTCAGCAAGAATAAAATGTTTATAAAATGTTTATTTTTCAAATAAATACTGTTCTTTTGAATTTTCTATTCATCAAAGAATCCTGAAAAAAAGCATCACAGTTTCCACAAAAGCATTAGGCAGCAATAACTGTTTTCAACAATGATAATAATAATAATGTTTCTTCAGCATCAATTAAGCATATTAGAATGAATTCTGAAGGATCATGTGACACTGAAGACTAAATTAGTGGCTGCTTCAGCATTATTTATGTTAGCATTATTCACATTAATATTTTACAATAGTACTCTTTTTACTATGCTTCTGATCAAATAATTCTACTCTATTTTGCTCACCACAACTTTGGTGAACAAAATAGAGTAATTTCAAAATATTAAAAAAATCTTACCTATCCCAAACTTTTGAATAGTACTGTATACATGTAGAAAGATTTAGTTAACTAACCAAATATTAATGCAACAAGCCAAATATCGTTAATTATTAGCATTATCCTGATAAGCACATAGACTGTGTGGACGTAAAAAGATGGCTTTATAATATGAGTTAATGTAGTGAAAGAAGTCTTTGTTCTATGAGCACATCAACATATATAACAGATTGAGGGCAGGCAGTGGAAATTGACTAAAAGTGCTTTGTTAAGGTTGCAGTTCTGTCTGCAATTTTGTGTGAGATAAATAAATCTTAATGCAGAACTCAGGAAGTGTTTCATACTAAATACTCATCAGTGCTTACCTCATTTCTGTGAACCTCCAGAGAACTTTTACAATGTTAAAAGATTGCACTGGTACACTAGTCTCGTTTTCTTAGATCTTGAGGGTGTTAAACTGTGGTTGGTTACTAATTGGTTTCATAACTGACTCCAGTGAGTGTACAGTAAATGCATTCGGATCACTAAGAAATTATTGGTCTGTTATTGAGGACAAAAGTCCTTTTTAATAATAGTGAAGAAAGTGTAGAAATTATTCAAGTTTTGTACACTTTATATACACTGTTTTGTACATTTATTTGTGTTTATGTGTCACGGTTGGGCAAAATTCAGTGTGTGTTTGTGTACACGGTTACACACATTGCCGTTTTAGGTTTCTTGTTGACAGTGGATGGCACATTCAGGCAGCACCTGATCAACCCTCTGACATCATTGGGGACCCCCTTCGTCACCATGGAAACAGCAATCTTCATTTGTCATTTACTCATATATAGTGTGTTGCACACAGCACTGTTGACTCAGTTTGAGTTCTCACACAGCCTGTGTTCCCAAATGCCAGCCACGGCCTTCCAGTCTCCTACTATCTGGAGAGGAAGTGCACTCAGTGATGTCAGAAGAAGGGCAGAGTGTTTCAGGAACATGCATGCTGTGATTCAGGACATTTGGCCTAAATTACAGCACAGGCAGGAAAGTAAGAAAGAAACAAAAAGATGGAGGTGCACAATTATTGTTGTCGTCTCAAGCATTTTCCACAATTCCGGCCAGTCTTTTACGCTGTGCACCACTAGTGAGATCGATGGTGCTGCTGCTTCTCTTTCTGCCCCATTTCTGCAGGCACTAAGCCCAGTGTGTGTTTGTGAATGTGTGTTTGCCCTGTCAGCACTATGGCACCTTTCATGGCCCATATTTTCTTGGTTGTATCACCTTACCAGCTAAAGCAGTTATTTAAAGGCACAGTTTTCCTATTTCCTGTATGAGATTGCTAAGTTTAATACTTACACCTGACAAATAAAGTCATTAGTAGTTGACTGATACGGTATTTCTCTGGGATAAAAATCTTTTTTTTTTTCACACCACCTGAAGTACTATATTCAGGATTTACAGGAAATCAATATAGGCCAGGCTGTTTTCTCTTATAATAGAAAAAAATATTTCATAAAACAATAAAAATACCCATATTTCCCTCCATATTTTGCAAATAAGCTCTTAAATACTATTGTTATCAAAATACGCTTTACATAGATTAGAGTTATTATAGTTACCTAAGACCAACCCAAATAAAAACCAATCCATTTTGTTATTTGAAATAAAATAAACATTAACCCTCTGGGGTCCGAGGGTGTTTTGGGGCCTGGAAAAGTTTTGACATGCCCTGACATTTGTGCTGAAAGTTCCGCCGCCGGAACTGTCGACCCCAGGAGGTTAACTGAAATAGAATTTGAAGTATTTTATTTCAGCTAGATGCCAAAGTGACATTTCTCTTTATTAAGTACTAGATTAAAGCTAAATAAACTGAAACTAATCAAATAAAAAACTATAGACATATTAAAAAAATAAAAATGGCAAAACAACAAAATTACTGACACTTTAAAACTAAAGTAAAACAAAATATTAACAAAAACTGTAATAGTTGATCAAAACACTGATGTAAATTTGCTGAAATTAAACACAATTTTACATAATATTTAAAAACTTAGAAAACATACAGTAAAATATTCATTATTTTCACAAGGCTTTTTGTGTTAAAATGGCACAATCGATCAACTGAGCATGACTGTCAGGAAACAAATTCGATTTGGTGCAATTTTGCCAATTATTTGACCTGGTAGTGTCTTTCAGCAAAGCACATTAACACAGGTTGCACCGGGGGATTGTCCGTGTAGTAAGTGTACGGTAAGCCAATTTGCATAAAAGCAGCTAAATGACAAATTAGTTATTTGTAAGATGAGTAATCAGTGATGCAAAGCAATCTGCTGTCTCGTCGGCTGTGCTGTTATTTTGGACTGAAGGAGTTTTGAAACTCACAGCTGACCCAGACATAACCTAGTCCTCATGAAGGATGAATGGTGACGCTAAAACCTGTAAGTGCTAATTTCATCAATAAAGTTCTGACGAAAATGTGACATGTTTCTCCCATGTACCGTATCTCTCTAGTCTGGATCATGTCTGAACAATTAAGACAGGTTTCCTTCCCAACCTGTCAATCTGCATTGATTCTGTTTGTATTTCCCTGATGATGTTGAGCTACAGTATCTCAGATGTGTTCAGTGAAATTTTGGAGCATCTTTCTCTCACATTTTCCCTTCGTTCTCTTTCTTTCTCTCATAGAGAAATTCCAGTATCTCTGGGGCATCGAGGGGAATGTACCAAGTGTCCGATCGACGTTCCTGCCCCAGCACTGCGTAAGTCTCAGAATAGCCGAATTCTGCCTGCATGACTGTTTTCACATCAGCCGAATTTTCTTATAAGTACAAAAAATGTGAATAATTATGTATTAAATATTTATTACAAAATAATTAATATAATTTATTCAAATGCAAGTCAACTGCTACAGGTGCTTAGAACTAAAAAAATATACTGTATATAGCATATACAGGCAAGACATAATAAATACCAGTGGCTCCTGAGTCCCGACGATATATTAAGGTCTTATGAAGTGAAACAATTGGTCTGTGCAAGAAACTGAAAACATTATTAAAAATTGTCATTTTTGGGTGAACTACACCTTTAAATAATTGTATGTATTATTTATGTATTTATTAATTGATCTGCATATTATGAAAGTAGATTGATTTAAAATATTAAAAGAACCCTGGTCATTTAGATCAGGTTACCTAGAGAGAACAATGAAATAGTTTCATAGTAGTTTCATAGTAGTGTTACTGTAGTTATGTTTTGTTGCTGAATTAATTAGTTTGTTTTTTTTTACAGATCAGTTCAATTAATCATAGAATGACAGTCATTTGTTTTGTTTCTGAATGATGTGTTTGAACGAATCGGTTGAATGACTGATTCAGTGACTCGCTCATAAAGATACCAAATGTTTCTTTTATGCACGGTGAAAGTGTAGTATTACTTCAAACTTCAAAGTATTACATTTATCATTAAATTTGCCAGCAGAAGTTTTGCAGCTGTATCTCAAATATGGCAGAGCAGCATGTTTATGTCTTTTATCTGCTCTGACCGGTGGGGGTTTTGGAGTCAGCCTGGTGTGGATGTGTTTTGGGAAAATCGCTAGATTGTTGCATTTGCCTCAGGGTTAAACCAGTCTGTAATCTCTCAGCCATGCAGAAGATATGCGGAAAGAGTCCTGTTGCACACACACACACACACACACACACTGCTGTGTGTGGCAAAACTAAAATGCCTAAAAGCACAAGGCCAAAAATAACCATTGCCCAAGGCTCTTGAAGGATAGTGGTGAACACTTCTTGTGTGTGTACTGAAAGCAGAGGCGGACTTAACCATTAGGCAAAGGTAGGCGACCGCCTTGGGCCCCCAAAAGCCAAGGGCCCCCTAAAATGCTTTTTATATGCGAGATGCGCGTTCAGTGCTGACGCACAAGTGGTTGCTGTGGTCTTCATTACCACGACAACCGTCTGTGCGTCAGCGTTGAATGTGCTTCTTAGCAAAAGTAGGGCGATGTAGAAAATGGGGACGGAATCCCGGAATCTATTCATAAAAACGGAATTTACTGTGTAACGCGGAATGTGATGGAATGAACGGCGCAGACGCGCGTTTCATTTGCTAGTTTGCTATTTAAGCACGCGCAATGCTCGCGGTTGTCATCTGTAGTAGCTAAATAGTATTTTTGCAATTTAATATTCACATACAGTAGTCCATATCGCGGTTTGATTGAAGTGTACTGAATTGCTCATTCAATTCAATTATTCATTCAATATTTGACGAATTCCATGACATTGCTCATTACACAGTAAACTTCTGTTGTGTAGCATTTTGAATGTACAAAAATGAAAGGGTTTGTTTAATTTTCATTGGAATAAAAGATAGATTAATGTTTTCGCCTTCATTTGATTACCAGAAAAATGAAAATACACAACACAGAATTTCAAAAAAATAAGTAAATAAAATTACAATTTCATAGGGCCCTATTATTGTATACTAATTAATAAATTAAGTTATTTTTATTAATTAAATTAATTAGATATGTTTTTGATTAATCCATTAAAATGGAATACAGCAAAATTAACATTTAAAAAAAAGAAAGCGCATAATTTGGGCCCTAAGAATGTAATTTTTGTTAAACTTTTAATAGGCCTAAATTGCTGTTAAATTAAACAAGTTTCAGGATTTTAATTAATTAGACATGTTTTTTTTTGTTAAAATGTTATATAATCATCCAGAAAAATTAAAAAGAAAAAAAAACTGAATCCAGAAAAATTAAAACGGAAAAAAAGATTTTGGAAAAAATAAAAACGTAGGCTAATTTGGGAAAAAAATCACTAAATCCGCCCCTGACTGAAAGCATGTGTGTGTCAGGTCAGGTTTTGCCTACATAGTGGAGACCAAATGTCCAAATTTAGTAAAACTTAAATTCTTGACCGAATTCATGATATAATTTTCATTTTAGTTTAAAACTACAGCATTACTTTAATAAACAAATGAATTAATGGCTTAATGGGAATGTAAAGATACTGTTTTATAAATGCTGTGTTTAATGAAGCTATATCTTGGCAGATAAAAATGAACGTATTGTTGTGAACACCACTATTTTTAAGATTTAATATTATTCTAGTGAATTTGTCTCAACCAGTCACCATCTGACATTGAAAGTCACCATCTGACTTCGCATTCAATTCAATTCAATTCAAGTTTATTTGTATAGCGCTTTTCACGATACAAATCGTTGCAAAGCAACTTTACAGCAAATTAAGTTTCTATAATATTTAGAAACAAATTACACTCGTTTTTATTTTTAGATATTCTCATGCGATTTCCCCATAACATACCGTAACCTTTGTATGGCTGCTCTTTTAACAAGGTTCTGATCTGTGAGTGAGACATCACTGTCCATCTGTTGTGTGTGTGCGTCTGCGCATGGGCCGTGTCAAACCATTTGGTGCTCTGAGGGAAGGAAGGAAGGAGCAGCGTGGGTTTGCCTGGAGTCTGCTGTCCCTAAATTGACATCATAAACTCCACAGGTCTTCCTCATAAATCAGACGAGCGAGGACTGAAATACCGGACTGCATATGATCACTGCTGTTCCTTCATTATGGCACAAATACCATCATTCATCTGAGTCAATTATTAAGACGTTAATTAAACAAGTGGCATGCTGTTCTTTTAAGCTTTCTATTCATCAAGGAATTCTGAAAAAAAATGTATAACCATTTCCACAAAAAATTTCATCATTGATAATAAGAAAAAAAAATTCTTGAGCAGCAAATCAACATATTAGAATGATTTCTGAAGGATCGTGTGACACTGAAGTAATGATGCTGAAAATACAGCTTTGCCATCACAGGAATAATTTACATTTTAGAATATTAAAATAGAGCACATATTTTAAATTGTAATAATATTTAACAGTATTACTGTTTTACTGTATTTTTTTATTAAATAAATGCAGCCTTTGTGAGCATAAGAGACTTCTTTCAAAAACATTTAAAAAATCTTACCAACCCCAAAGTTTGAATGTTTGTGTACTGTATATACGTTTCATAAATATTTGGAAAATCTCATTATTTTTTTATCAAATTAATTAACCTTAATTTCATTATATGCTGATTAATTGATAAATATATGAATAAATACAAAATTATTAATAAATTCTACTATAATTAAATATATAGGTTGTTGAGAAATTTTTACATGAGTAAATCACTATAGACATTACAAAATGTGTTTTTAGAAGTTGAATATATTGTTTGTTTTATTTCATATGATTGAATATAAAGCTGCATCACAGTCCAAATCAATCTATTTTGCAAAATAGTTTTTTAAATCTGTCTGAGGGAAACTCAGGGGACACACATCTTTAGCCATTGCTTCCATTTTCTGCATCTTTATTTTTACTACTGAAAAGCACAAATATGTAGTTATTATATAAAGTAAGGGGCGCAGAAACATCAAGAAACTATGTAATATGATAAAGAAACCACTCTCATCTTCAAAGATCTTCTGAAGTTTCTTCCACGTCTTTAGTTTTTGCTGTCAGTTTGTGTGAAACTTCACGTATAAATTCTTTTTAGCCTTTGCATGTTATCTTACAAATGGCTTTTGATATCTCTGCCATAGCCAGCCATGCATTACACATTCCTACGGTGTAAGAAGTAATAATGTGTCCCAGCTTCATCTCTAGAGGGTCGTTTGCTCTTCAGCCCACTGTAAAATAGAAAAGTCTGTCATTGTAGTCAGTTGCCTGCAGCAGAGCCTGCAGTGACTAGTGACAGCAGTAGCAAAGTATCTCTTTAAGTCTCAGTGTTGGCTTTTGAACTGTAACATCTGGAGAGTGACTAAATGTCTGGCTGGAATCCCCAGTGGAAATTCGGTCCCTGCTAAGCCACGGAGGAGAACATTCCTTACCCATAATCCCATGCGAATGCCCTAACTGTTACCTGAGTTTAGTGGTTTCTCTTGTAATGAATATTTAAACTGATGCCCATGCGATTTTTGAGCCAAGTATATTTTGAATGCAACTATTTGTGTCTTTGGAAATTAAGTTGCATAATTATTGAAGATAAAAAGGAATCAGGAATAATGCATTTACATGTCTACATTTAGTCTGTCCAAATTGAGTCACAGTTTCCTCCACTAGTGCATAATAAAAAGTGCATGGCACCCCTAAAAGTGTTGGTTTAGTGTTGTGTAATCTGAGTGCAGTGCTAAGAAGAATCCTTTGAGGAGTGTTTTGATTAAAAACAACTGAGAGCCACTCTCGTATGTGCAATTAAGGAAATAACCCATTACTCATTCAGACTTAAAAATAATATTTGCAAGATTCATCTTCACAAATGATCAATCTTTCTTCCTACAAAGTGAGTTAGCAGAGTGTCTTATTTCTTAATTAGTTGGGTGTGTGTTTGTGTGTATTGTAGGAAGTCTGCCTAGACAGATGTGATCATATTTCCTGGTTAACACGCACTGTTCTTTTTACACATTTCTTTTAACACAAACCCTGTATCTTAAAGCAACTGGTGGTTCTTAACCCAGAAAATCTGTTGCAAGTCTGTTCCGATAGGCACATGGAATACAAATAAGAGAATGCAACTACACGTATAATTGTGCATAGTAGGTAGGGCAAAATAAATAGGCATAATTTGAAAATAGAGCAGAAAATGTTTACGATATCTTTTGTTGATGCAGATTTATCATTTACTAGAAGTTAGACACATGAGACAGATACTATGCTAACATGTGTAACATACAGTGTTATTGTAGTAGTATTTATATTGTAGTATTTAGGGCTTGGCTGTATGTCGATATGTATTGTGGCGATGGTATAAATTATCTATCATTAGAGATAATGCTATGTTTATACCACGAAATATATTGGTATTGTGGTATTGGTATTTTTTTAGTGCTGGGCAATGATTAATCGCAAATTAATCGCATCCAAAATAAAGGTGTTTATTTATATAATATATGTGTGTATACTGTGTATATTTATTATGTATATATAAATACAAACACATGCATGTATATATTTAAGAAAATATGTTATGTTTATATATTAAATATATTTATATATAATATCAAATATAAGAATATAAATATATAAATGTATATACATGTAAATATTTTCAAAAATATACTGTGTGTGTGTGTGTATTTATATATGCATAATAAATATACACAGTATACATATATTATGTAAACAAAAGCTTTTATTTTGGATGCGATTAATCGTGATTAATCATTTGACAGCACTAATATATAGACATAACATTATTCTTAAATATATACATGTATGTGTATTTATATATATACATAATAAATATACACAGTACACACACATATATTATGTACACAAAAACTTTTATTTTGGATGCAATTAATTGCGATTAATCATTGCCCAGCACTAGACTTTTATTTTTTGATATTTCTAGGTTTCATTTTAAATTTGGTTTGGTGCTTTTGTATTTAATTTTTATTTATTTATTTACATATTTTTGAATTATTTCATTTTAAGTTTTAGTAACTTTATTTCATTTCAGTTAGTTGATAAGGCAACATTGATAATTGCAAGGTAATTAAAAAAAGGTCTAGGCTACAAAGAGAAAGAAAGAAAGAAAGAAAGAAAGAAAGAAAGAAAGAAGGAAATACAACAGCATGTCACTGGGACAGTACCCTTAAAAGGACATCTTTGTACCCTATTTACCCCAAAAAGTTTCATAGTTGTACATTAAGGTACATATTGGTACTCTAAGGTACTAATGTGCACCTTTTCGAGTATAAAGTACAAAGATGTCCTTATAAGGGTACTGAGAGTATATTGTTTACATATTTCAAATTGTATTTTGTGTATGTTGTACGTACAGTACATGGCACACAGTAATGGATACTTGCACATTCACATACTACTTTATTCTGTTCTATTCTACAGTCCATGTTTCAGGAATGAAATAATAAAAAAGTAATTCAAAACAAACTATTGCAAAGAAACTATATATTGAGCTCAACTGACAAACATGTCAAGGTATGTAGACCCTATATCAATTATACAATGAGATGAAATAAACATTTAGTGTCATTTCTTTTAAGCTTCCTGGCTGGTTTGTTTAAAAGTAGTAGCTTTTTACAGTGTTAAAGCTAACATATATCTCAATATATAAACTGAAATTTATGATACATTTAGTATTTTTGTGAGTTTTCAATGTGAAAATGCAGTGTGACTATTTTTGCATATTGTTGGGCCTTTACATTTTATGATAATGTTAGTGCATTTACAGTGTTTTAGTTTAATAATTATTTGTACATTGAACAATACCGCCAGTAGATGTCCAGTAATTCTTTTTATAAATTACTGTGAATTAACCACAATTTTGCACCTGTGTTTTTTCCATTTTTCCCTTTGTGCTTTTCCTAAACAGCGCATCAGGACGAGGGAAGTCTGTGTCCCAGGGTTCAGGAGGTTATGACAGTGACAGTGTGGACCTCCACGCTCTGGAGGACTGCCCTGATGCTCAGTACTACCACGTCCAGTGCCGACTCGGGGAAGGAGGCGGAGGAGGATACGAAAGAGCGGCTGCTTCCCGGAGCTGGGGTCTCCGCAAACAGGCCATCCAGAACTGGCAGCGCCGGCCGTACCGGAACAGCACGGAGGGAGAGGAGGGCGACGTGTCTGACGTAGGATCCCGCACCACCGAGTCCGAGGCTGAGATGTGGGAGCAAGACAGGAGAGCAGAGAGCCAGCATGGGGGAAACCGAGGAGGATACAGACTAGCTACAGGTGCGTCATTGACCTGCGTGGAAGAATTTGTCCTGGGGTTTATTTTGTTTTTCTAAATGTTGGTGGAAGAGCATGGTTCATTTCCCAAGGAACACAATTCCAAAGGCATAAATGTAAATGTAATTTTTGGCTTGTCAGTCGTTTAAAATATAATCTGGGGCAGGCAGAAAAGGGCAGCTCTGTAGCACATGCTGCTATGGTTGCAAATGTCATTTCGCAGAATGTACGTTTGTGAGTTAACAGTTTGTCGACCAGTTTGTCAGGCCCAAGGCCACAGTACCCACTCTCCAAATAATGATAGGATAGTCGGGTCAGAGGACCAGGACGCCGGCTGAGGAAGATTACTGTAGGTCACATGAATGCAACTGCTGACAGGATCATAGGCCAGAGAGCAGTAGAGAGAGTGTGTCATAAAGCCATGAGCAATGAGCACAATTTTCCACCTACTGACTCCAGGTCATTGTGGGAAGAGTGAAATGAGTAACCAGTAGTGCACTATATGTTCTCATACATAATCATACCATATACACAGTGTGACTTGAGGCCATGATGTCTTTACTGTATGTAGTTCATTTACATTGATTAAGGCTCATTTGTGCTTTTCAGATTGTCACTTCTCTTTGTTCAGCTGTCCCATTATGTGGCAGAAAATGTAGGGGGCAGCAGCAGGCCTGCTCACATCTTATTGAAAAAAGTTAAAGGGAATTAACAAAATATATTCAAGATTTCTTCCTATCATACAGAAGCCAACATGAAATGCTATATTTGAATGATACATATGCTTTCCATGTCAAACAATGTCAGTGTCAGCATCAAAAAGTAGCCATAAAATCCATTGGAGAGATCAAGGGGTGTATTCCGTGAATTTATTTAAGTGTAGACTTGTTTCTTGCTGATATGAATGCAATAAAAAAAATGTTTTTTATAGTTATTATTATTCTTATTAATATTATTTTATGTAATTCTTATTATTTTATTATTGTTATTATTTATTATTATTTTGTACATTTTTATTTTTGGTATATCTTTACATTTGGATTAACTCATTTTTAATACTAACATAATTTACTAATTGTTATTTCACAAATTACATATTATTGATTGATTCATTCATTCATTCATTAATAATAATTAATTAAATAATTATTGGTGAGCATTAATTAAACAATTACCCTCATGACATTATTATTGTTTTTTCTTTAATATTAATTAAACATGTAAAATTGTGTAATAATTTCAGAAATCAAGACATGTTTCTATGTGGGATGAAGTTGTCTGCATCCACTTATGTCTAGACTTGTTTAGTGTTTAAATGCAGATATGAATGTAATTTTATTTTATATATTGTTTTATTATTTAATGGATTATTTTCTAAAATATCTGTACACATATGAATAAACATTTTTTTAATGCTGATATAATTGAACACTTTTTATTCCACAGTTAAACTGTGTATTTGTATTTAACAGTAATTATTATTCTATTTGTTGTTGTTGTTGCTGCTTTAATTAATTTTAATTAAACATTTACATTGTTTGTAAAAAAAAAAAAAAATCTGAAATCAAGACCATCCCTGCAGGGGGACAATGTGGGATGCATCCACTGATCCAGAGTGGTCTTTTCCTATCCCACTATTGGTTAATGTTTGGCTTTGGGTAGGAGAAACTGATCCTAGAGCAGCAGTTATGGCTAGTTTATCCAGCTAGCATTTGAATTTAACTGAATGCATTAACATTATTCCCAATCCAGGTGAAGGCCAAGCTTTCCTTACCTTAGCCATACACAATCCATCCATCCTGTCATCACATTACATCTCACTTATTTGAGAGCCTGTTTGAGTCAGAGCTTTTGGCAGATTTTGCTTAAAAAACTGTCTTATAAAATATGAACACTGCCAACACCTGTTTCGTTAGTCTCAATCTCATTAGATCTTCAGCAAATCGTGTATGACTCAAGAGACATAGAGTCTGTCAGACTGGAGCTGTGAGATAGAAATGGCCTGCTGATTGCATGATTTGGAGGATGTTCAGATCCTGTAGGAGGCAGTGAGAAGAGCAAACAGACCGATAGCTGGACTTTTTATTGGACCGAGGCGCCACCATATGGACATGTACGGTAATGCGGCCAGTAAAAGAATTAGTTCACACAAAAATGAACTCACCCATGTTCAGTGTGAGGTCAGTTTGTTGAAGGTCTTCTCTTTTACATGCAGGAAAACTAAATTGTGGCCACAGCTGTCAAGCAAGTCTTCCTTTATCTCTTCGTGTCGACAGGTCGTTCTGAAAGGGGATACAAGCCTTGTCGCCATGAGAAAAGCCCCTCCAAATTCAACGAGGTGATCAGTCCTGAGGTGCTGAAGATACGTGCCGCTCTCTTCTGTATCTTTACCTACCTGGATACGAAGACACTCCTGCGTGCGGCCGAGGTGTCCCAGGATTGGAAGTTTGTGGCTCGTCACCCGGCGGTGTGGACCAGAGTGCTGCTGGAGAACGCTCGCATCTCTTCAAAGGTTTTAACACCATTCACACTAACACTCTTACATTAATACTCCTGTTCGGTTTAGGAACTGACCGGCCGCCTACTTTTTCAGCAGCTTGGGTGTCAGAATATATTTCTCATTTATTTTCTCCATGGCCATTTCAGAAATTTCTAAATAAAGATATCTAAGCCTCGAGTCAAATCAACCAACTCCAAAAACATTATGAATGACATTACAGCATTATACAGAATGCGTTCTTGAATGAACAATCTGCTAATGAATGAATTATTAATAATTTTTTACCTTGAATGATGAAATCAGATCAGCCTGGATTTTAATTTTTAATGTATTTTCTCATTAGAAAATGCTATTTCTGAATGTTATGCTTTAACACCACAACAAGACATTAAATAATTATTTATATCATATTACCCATAATTACTGTTTTGAACATTTTAAACATTATTGTTTAAGCCTTCAGTAGACTGAGCATAAATGAATGAATTAAAAGAATCATTCCTGTTATGCAGTACCTTTTGAGCTGATTATTATCTTAGTAATAAATAATAATATTAATAATATGCTTGTTCTGTATTTTAGTAAAAAAATTAGAGCTTTACAGGAAGAAAAGAACTAAAGTTGGCCATTGCTCAATAAGGAATTGTGAGTTAGCTGACAAAAGGTTAAAGTTAATTTGTGATTTATTTATTTATTTATTTAGCTAGCTAGTTAGTTAGTTAGTTAGTTAGTAAAAGTACATAGGATAGAAAGTGATATTAATATGGAGGACCAAATTACTCAGAATTAAATAAATAAATGTTGAAATATATAAATCGTTAAATAGATAATGAAATAATTAAATGCATAAATAAATATATAAATATTTATTTATTAATTTCTTTATTTATGTATTTTATTTATTCATTTATTTATTTATTCAGTCATTCATTTATTTAATCATTCATTTATTATTCATTCATTCATTTCCTCCCTCCATATTTCATTTTCAGGGTTACGGTTGTCAGCACGTCACTCAGTGGGCAGCGTCACCTTTCAAACTCGATTTCTTTCGTCTTTCTAATTTAGGCGCTTTTTTTTTGTTTTTCGCATCACGAGCTATGGCTGAGCATGGTACAGTAAAAGATCTGTTGTTTACTCTTGCAGATGAAGTTGTCAATCAAAACGTTGACTATAACATAATTTTAATACAAGTAGAAAATATCCGGGAGATGTTGGCTGCACGCGTAAACAGAGCGTAAGCAGCGTGTATTTTTTTGAGATGGTCCTCACTGCAGAACACAAGATCCAGGGGGCGTGACTGGATCCAGATCCAAAACCCACCCATCTCCACCCCTAAACCTACCCATCTCCACCCTCTGATCCCTAAATCCACCCATCTCCACCCTTAAACCTACCCATCTCCACCCCCTGATCCCTAAACCCTCCCATCTCCACCCCCTGATCCCTAAGCCCTCCCATCCCCATCCCTAAACCCCCCCATCTCCACCCCCTGATCCCTAAACCCAACCATCTCCACCCCCTAGATGTGGATCAAACCACACCCCCTGGATCTTGTGTTCTGCAGTGAGGGGCTACTGATTTCTTTCAGCGCCCATAGAGTACTTACACCGCATTTTTCTATACTTTCTATACTTGTATTAAAATTATGTCATAGTCAACGTTTTGATTGACAACTTCATCTGCAAGAGTAAACAACAGATCTTTTACTGTACCATGCTCAGCCATAGCTCGTGATGCGAAAAACAAAAAAAAAGCGCCTAAATTAGAAAGACGAAAGAAATCGAGTTTGAAAGGTGACGCTGCCCACTGAGTGACGTGCTGACAACCGTAACCCTGAAAATGAAATATGGAGGGAGGAACCTAAATTAGAAAGACCAAAGAAATCGAGTTTGAAAGGTGACGCCGACAACTCTTGAGTGACGTGCCGACAACCGTAACCCTGAAAATGAAATGTGGAGGGAGGAAATGAATGAATAAATACATAAATATTTGTTTATTTATGCATTTATTTCTGTATTTAATTATTTCATGATGTATTTAACGATTTTTAATGAATTAAAAACAATTATTTTTAGTAATTTGGCCCTCCATATATTAGGGACATGGGGGAAAATTATGTAATGATTAATAGATAATACACAAATTAATGTACTAGTCCCAAAAAAGCATATTTAGTTTAAAATATTTTGATGAAAATTTAAATGTTAAAATACATTTTACACAAATATAGTTTAAGAATGACAAAGATTAAAATTAAAGCTGAAATGAAAATGAGTTTAAGCCAAATAGTAGGGGTGTAAAGGTACTTATTCGTACCATATGGTTCACGGGGCAAATTCCAAATGGAAGTGATCATCCCTATGCCTTTGAAGGGCAGAGCCCTTGGAGTGGGGACTTTGGAGTGAGCAGGACACGTGTGTGCCATTATGTAGTCGTTTGGAATGCACTTGGCAAAGGGAGCAACGTAATTTCCTCATTATCTTCAGCTGG